TGCACAACTCATCAGCAAGTGCCTTGAGCAGAGCACCGGTACCACCAAAACCCCAAACCACTGGGCAGAAGCAAGTTTGCCCTTCATGCATGGCTTGAACAAAAGACGCTCTCATGTTCACTCTCATCACATCAAGTTCCTCCAGGCTGGTAGGCAAGTCAGCTTGGAGCAGTATGTGCGCAAGGAAGGCCAACGCATGAGCACCACACATTCTGTGTGAAGGCAGACCATGGGGGACCCTGTGAATGACAACCTCTTCAAAGCCGAGGTGCAATCCCATCCATCTCAGTTTTCCATCAAATATGTCGTAATCAACTACGTCATCGAAGGTGTGGACCACTAGAACCATTCCACCAGGGACAAACCAAAGAGGCAGCCAATGGTCATCCTCCAACACGACGGCAACAATTTGGTGATTGTGTTCCTTGATCTGCGGGAAACCCTGGCACCACTTTTCAGTAAGGATGTGACCAACATCATCCCAATTGAGAAAATTCAGGGCCTCAAACCCAAGGACAATGGGGATGAGTTCCCGATCAACCATTATTCTAGTCTGTCGTTGCTTCAGAAGGGTTGCAAGATGGAAACGAATTTCATCGTCACCCATGGCATGACCATGTTCAGCAAAAAGGTCAAGGCGTGTATTGAAATCAATGCATGTGTGAGAAAGCGATATGTCCCTGGCAACAGACGGCAAGTCTAGCAACTCCAAGCGCGAAGGAGCAGAGTCAGGAGCTTCATTCTCATCAGACTTCCATTCAACTTCAGTTTTGTCGTCATCACTATCCCCTGCAGCCCAGAGCCAAGGGCGACTGACTTCAACCTCCTGTTGGACTGCAACCCGAAAGACTTCTCTCAATACACAGTGAACCGCCCAAACTTGTGCATAAGCTGTGGCTACTGGCACTCCAAGCAGTCTATGCCTGAGAAAGTCAACGGCACTAGCACCACAGGCAGAATAGCACACAAAGTTCGGTTGCTCATGATGAAAACGAATCCCTGCAAATCCTAGGCCTGTCGCAATATCAACCAGAACATTGACAATCTTGGCAGGAATCTGCACATTCCTCTGGCTGAGGAAAATCGTAACATGATCACCTTCAGGCAGAAACAAAACCGGAAACCAGTGCTTCTCCCACTTGAAAATGCCAATCACTTTGCATTGCTGGACCCAAACATCAGTCTGTTGCTGAGCCCAATGGAGACAGGACAGTGAGCCCGAATCAAACCAAGACGAAAACCTCAGCGGATCAATGACCAGGGGCCTTTGAAAGTCACCATCTGTCATGCCAACCTCTGCACAGAAGGCTGCAAGCTCATGCATATGAAAACGGACTTCGTCATCAGCCCAAATGCCATACTGTCTGGCCAGTAAGTGAGTTCTGTCCTCACTTGAAATGAGTTGTGACCTCAACCAACCTAAACGAGAAAGGTTAGCAATGACAGGAGTACCAAAATCGCTCATCTGTTGACAATCTACCCTCAAGAGTTCTTGCACTGACAGACTGTCAGAAGGGGCGGCAAAGATATTGTGAGCATCAGCTATCTCTCTGGAGCCGGAGCTGGCATGCTCAGCAGCGTCACTGCTGCCACTGGCCGGGCAGAACCGAATGTGTCACCGGGGTTCTTTGCTCCCTTGTGATTGATTCAATAACAGCTCCACTACTGGCAATTCTGGTGGGCATTCTAGGGAGTAGCCCACATTCCCCTGAGGAGGCTGATGGACCAGGCTGGCCCTCTTCCTCCTCAACATCACCTCTGCCCCAAATCCAAGGTCTTTGTGCAGTGCCAGCTTGCTGCAAATGAGTAAGGAATTTCTGGCGAAGCATGGAGTGAACCATGTCAACTTCAGATGCAACAATCGGCAACATCGTGCCATGTAAAACTCCATGGAGAAAATGAATGGCCAAAGCTCCACATTTGTCGGAAACTGGAAAGAATCTTTGCTGTCTGGTGATCAAAACAGATTGAAAACCCAACGCAGTACCAACAAGCTCCAAGACCTGATTGAATCTTTCATGGCCATTACATGGGGCATCCCAAGTGAAAACATTGGCATGTACTCCGCATGGAACAAGCTGAAAGGGAATCCAATGATGTTCCAATCTACCAGCTCCAACAACCTGAATTCCACGTTGCAAAACGTCACCACGGCCCTTGGCCCAGTCCTCGATTGGAAAGCCACATCCGCAAATCCAGGCACTCATCAGCAGTGGGTCAATGACACAAACCTTTGCCCTTCCTGATTCTACAACCGTAGGCAGTTGACAGAACTGTGAGACAAGCTGTTGCAGATGAAAATCAATTTCATCATCGGACCACAAACCCTGTTGGGATTCAAGCAGGTTAATCCTCTCATTTGGAGTAATAATTTGGCTTCTCAAGGATAAAAGCTTGCTCGGATTCCCAATGCATGGAACCGACAAATGAAGGAATTGTTGCACTGTCAATCCTAGAAGAGCATTAACAGATCCCCAAAGCGTAGGAAGCGATTGGTCAGCTTCATTTGGCACTACAGCACCTGTCTTTCCACACTCTGACGGCTGCCAGACAATGGTGGGTGAAATCAGGTTGACAAAATCCACAGCTGCTTTCCCCTCACTCTGATCAAACTCATTGCAACTTCCTACTTCGGGCATTATAGGGAGTTGCCCGGATTCCCCAAAGACACAAGTGGTTGTATCCTTACCAGGTGCACTGGAAGCCGTACCATGCGTTTTGGAAATCATCTCAACATCAGGCAGTTCAATTTGGAATTCTCCCTCACTAGGGCCCTGCTTTTGGAATTGACCAGTGAAAAGTTCACCTTCATCATCTCTTGACAAGAAAACTTGAATGCATTGCCCCTCCTCAATCGGGTGATTAAAGGGAAGAAAGTGACCATGTTCATCAGAAATCAGCAAGACACGGAACGTTCCAGTCATTTTCGCCTGAGCTTGCAGAACATCAGCGATGGTGGATCCTGCCTGAAAACCAAAGTTAAGAGACGATCCATCAGCATCAATAAGAGTGACCATGGAGACCGCAACATTCAAGCACAAATCACATTTCGGATCAGCAATGGGCTGATCAAACCACGGAGTTTCGGGAGCATCAATTCCTACTGCTGCTACAACCATGCTCTTGGAAGAACTGCAAATAATGCTATCAAGCACCAAAGCAATGGAAATCATGTCTCCCTTGATGTCTGGCCAATGACTTAATTGCATGAGCTGAGTCAGTGGGACTTCTTTGTAATCCTCCCAGAAAGCAACTAAATCACGAAGCTTTTGATCAGGAACCACCACATCATTGCAAGGCCACATGGCATGACATTTCATCAACAGCCACGATCGAAACGCAATCAGTTGAGTGTCCGGTGGGAACGGGCAGGACCCATGCCTCAACACTGAAATTTTGGCAACCACAAAACTAGACACCCAAGCTGCTTGAAGCGGACTGGCAATTTGCCCAACACCTGAAAGTGCCAATCTGACATTGAGACCGAAATCCAGGGTGCAGTCCATACCGTTAAGGGCAAGCGCTTCATTGGGATGCAAGTGTCGCAGGCATGATGGCAACTCATGGGATTGACATGATTGCACCAGGAGTCCAAAAAGGCCTTTCTCCTGGAGCCTCGTTTCAGAAAGGGCAAAACCTCGGCACCCACACGGGCAGGGTCGCAATTGTGACCCCCACGCATGCAGAGCTGTGGGAGCAATCCCTTCAGAGGAGAGTAAAAATCCCGGATACCTACCATCGTCAGCACCAAAAGCCTTTCGTTCAGCATCATCAAGAGCAAGAGCCAGCTCATCTCTTGGGTCCCATCGTGAGATGTATGGGATCAGGCACTTCACAGCAGGCAAATTATCAATTGGCATCCAAGGCTTCAGATTCACACCCCCAAAGAAAGGACGTGTCAACAGCCACCAAGTTCTTGACCTACGACATGGCCAAACTTCATGCAAATGAAGGTCAATTTGCTCCTTTTTGAAACCAGTGAGAGAAATAAACTTGTCGATGCATTGTGCCACAAACTTGTCACTACCCGCTGGTGTTACACATTCCAACATCACTATCTTACATTGGAGATAGTAAGCAGCTTTCAGCGCCTTCGGAAGGGAAACTGATCTTGGGTCTTGGCCACTTCTCTGATCACCAAGGGAGCTAAACGGCTGACAGCTGAATCCTGCAGAAAGAATCTGAGCATTATCAGCCCTGCGCCAAACTTCAGTGATAACCGAGATCTCACCTAGGTCTCCAGTTATGACCTCAGCACCTGAGTGTTGCGAATGCAAATCTGTCATCAGTGCATTGGAGTCTACGGCAACTGTAGTAACAATACCTACTGCCTGCGCACCATGAGAGATTCCACCGATTCCACTGCAACCATCAATCATTTTCAGCATGTCAACCCATGTAGGCGTAGCATGAGACAAGATCTTCGTGGATTGGCCAGCACACACCATTGGAACAGGAAACTGACGTACCACCATGACATCACACAGAGTGTACCTACTGCATCCAGCTGGAAGAAGACCTGCATACAGACACAAGGTACCTGAGTGGACAATCCTGAGTTGGTGCGTGTCATGTGATGGGTCCAGGACAATGGGTTCAACCAACAGAGTAATGCAACTTCCAGTGTCAACCTCACCGAACTCCATGGGATAAACACAAGCCATGGCAAAAGGAGATGGAACAAACGGCTCGAGGATCAGCTGTTACCAGCCGCACCACTGGGAGGCAGCTCGAGCATCACGGCTGTTCCAAACCACCAGCCAGACAACCATAGCACCACTGCTGAAGCAATGATAGACAAGGGATGGAGAAATCACCAAGTCTAAGTGATGTTGTCTCACATGGTATCCCAATTCATGATCCCCTATTGTTGATTGCTAAATCCCATTGATATCCCCTTGGATCACTAGCAAACCCCATGAAATTGCATTAAAATCAAACTCACCAAAATTCCATGAAACCTCCATCAAAATCCCAACCGGGGGGAAAAAAAAACGCGCCTTGGGCCATGCCTTTCAGCTGGCGACGGAAAAACCTGGCGTTTTTTGAAAAGAGGCCGCCTTCAACCCAGCAATCTCATCATCAGCAACACATGATGTTGAAACTATGGTTGAATTCAAAATAAAAAACAACACGTTTATCAAGGATTTGCTGCCAGATCAAACATGAGGATGTGCCACAAAACCAATGGATTCAACAAACATACTAGAGTGATGTCATCGTGCAACAACTTGCAGTTTCAGCCAGAAAAAATCCGGGCATGATTGTAAAACACAAAATCATCAAAATGCAATCTGATTGGTGGTTTGAACCCCTCTGAACAATATGACAGTCAATTGGGGTGATTTTTCCCAATATATGGACAATTAAAAATGTTCCAAACCACCAACCAGGTAATGTGGTCAAACATTGGCAAGAGTCCCATAGATACCCAACATTGGCGGACAATTTGATCCCTCAAACAATTACTTATTCAAACATGGTTTCTGGTGGACGACTTCCGATGTCTCCCATTTTTGGACACAATTTCCGATTTCTTACGTTTTGTGAGTATGTATATATAATTATATATATATTATATTATATACATATAATTTTTGCATAATGACCTCAAAACACGACCGAAAAATATTTGCCAGTACTTCGCAAAAAAAAAATTGAAGGTGGCTACGTATACTACAATATCAGTGTATAATACGTGGCTGATACCGGAAACAACGACTGCAAGTTGACACCTCTCCCCTGCCTGGGGTTCTCCCACCAACCAATCATGCCAGAAGCTCTCATTTGAAGCCAGCTGCACGCCCAGGTAGGGGAACACCTCAAAAATAGACATATTTTTTGACAGAGACATGACAAATCTTCCTCTCAAAATCAAAATGCATAATCTTACCACCTAAAGCACTCTGATGGGCCCATGGAAGGTAAAAAATATTGACAATTTAAAATTTGGATGGGGGAAATATCCCCTTGCAACCCAAAAAACGCGAATTTGTAGGGTTTCGTCGTTATTAAGGTTGCTATAATTTACCAAACTGGCTTAATAATCATGTCCACCTCATTTTTACTACTTGGTAGCTTCAGTCCCCTGAAAAATATAAGTCATTTATTTACACAAGGCGTGAGGCACGGAAAATACAAAAATCAAACCTACCAACGACTTTTTGTTCATTAATCAACTATCAGCTGCAGCGTCCAAACCCCAAAAATATGCCGAAAAGTGTTTCCATGATGGTAGTTCGACGATGTTTTCCCCCATGCTTTGCGCATTTTCAACTTTTCGGCATCTTTAAAGGCTGTTACAAGGTGAGGTCCCCTGAATAGCTAAGTTGACGCGCAGAACTTGGTTAATGCTGAACGTTTGCATTCTAAATAATAAATAGTAAGCAGCGTTATATCCCAAGCACTGTCTGAGTAGGTGATCGGGATGAGGGCAACATAAAGTTGCCCAACCTCTGGCGGTGACTGTCGCACGTAGAGCCGATGCACCCCGCCGGCCGGCGCGGCCTTTGGGATGTACCAGCGGTTCCGCGTCCTTCTATCGGACACCTTGCACAAACTTGGACCAACCTCACCAACCCGACCTCGGGCCACTTCAGGCACAAGCTCCAGCGAGCAAGTTGCCCATGCCTGGCCCACTTCACCCCCTCCTCCTCTGCCCAGAGCGCCAGCAACCTGTGGGGACATAAAGGGAAGTCAACTCTCTCTCCCCAGAAGGGCCAGGCCATTCTGAGACACTTTTGGGTGAAAGACCATTCTGGGAAACAGTTTGGCCAATCACTGTCTGAGAGAGTGTCTGGATCTACAGGGTATATATGACTATATGACTATAGTATACTACAGGATGGGGCCCCATTGTTATAAGTTGGCTTATAAACCATAATAATCCCCAATGACTATAGTTATACCAGAAACCATAGTCAAGCCACTGAAATAAGGCCACGGTTCACGCTATCCAACGGGGGCCCCATCCTGTATAGTATTCATATTTAATCATCTTTATATATTCATTGGCTTTCTAAACCAACAAACACAACGTCAGACTGGGGACTTTGTGGGGACCTCACCTTGTCATCCCATCCTCCGTCCTCAGTTCCCGGACACGAAGCACCGCCACAGAGTTGCCCTTCCAGAAGTCTGTCACCTTTCTGTAGCCTGGAGCCACTGGAGGTTCATCCATGTTCATCCCATCATCCCATGGTCCGGACGTCACGGCTGGAAGGAACTCCCGCATTGTTGCGAAAATCATAAATTGAACATCTTGAAATAAAATAAATATATATATATATATTTAAAAAAAGCTAAAAACCATAAATTTAAAAACAACAAAAAACTCCACAGATTGCCCTAAGTTGTTTGCTTTTGCTGAGCCCTTTCCCAAAAAATCCCTGCCAGTGGCGGTGCTGAAATCTAAGGTTCCCAGCCGCCACCACTCTCGTCCATGACCTTCTGGATGATGCGAAGCCAGCCTTGATCTGGGCCCTGGCGATGCGGTGACCACTTGGGAGATAGCATGATTTACCAACATTCGCTAGAAAAATCAACAAAGATCAGCAAAGATAGCAGGATTTATCTGACCCATAGGATCCATGTATGCTATATATGGTCACATGGATCTCATCAATATACCCCCTTTATGTTAGCATATATACCATACATGGATCCTATGGGTGATAACACTTTAAGATGTTTAGCCAACATGATTTCATCAACAAATGACATACGAAGATCAGGATCCAAGATATCCAAGCAATGAACATATGTGCATTTTACCAAAATGGGGCAGTGTTCATCAAGTCGTGGCGATGTTTGACATGAAAAAAAACCTATGGAACCTTGGCTAAATTTGGGATAATTTGGGATTAAAAATGGATGGTTTGGTAAAAATGGTCCTGATCGTTTGTCCTATATGTGGAATTCGCAGGGGGAGATCCTGAGACCATCATGGCCCATGGCGATAAAAATGGCAAAGGGGCTATGGCAAGATGAAATTCTGGGGTCAGCACTTAAATCATTCTTTTTTTTATCCTTTGGCGCATCGAGGTTGGGGTGGAATCCAGTCAAAAGGGAGGCCTTTGTTCTGACGGAGCAACTGGCGTGCCGTCATCATCTTGTCACGATGGAATCCCCACCAGCCTCCAAACTGCCAATCAGATCAGAGATGGAGAAGATGGACAAGTCGTATTGAAATCCGAGACTTTAGCTTGGAAGAAACACACAAAAATAGACGGCCCCTGAAAAGCATCGTAGCCCTGTCTCTTAATCCCAAGACTGGTGCTGGGGTCTAATGAAACAGTAGACGCAGAGCCCGGATTGTCAAAAGCTGGTCAACGATTAAAGAATATTAAACCCATATATTTACATAGCCACAAAAACCAGCTCGCGCACAAGACACCACACAACTTATATAGATTCACTTCAGGGGCAGCAGCAAAGAAACCGACCATATCCCTGCAGATTCCCGACATGGTGTATTGGCCGAAGGGAGAATAAACAATCATCATCAGCGAACTATGGATTTGTATGAACATACCCCATTGCATCCCATGGTTTATCATCATTTTTCCACACTACACAGAAGTGCCATAACTGGGGGTATATTTGAGACACACCAAAATCAGTTGAATCCTTTTTTTTTGATGGTTGAATCACATTACCTCCACATGTTTGTTGCAAAAAAATGATGCCAAATCATGAACTATGCCCATTCTTGGGACATGTTTCCCCAAGGATCAAAGCCAGGTCTCTCCTCCGCCCGTCAACTCGTCAGGCGGACCGATTTCTTGGAGTTGATCTGGTAAATGATCTTGATCTCAGTGCTCCGTAGCGTTCCCAACGCTTTGTCCCATGGTCAACTGTCCCATCCAAATACGAAGAAATCTCAGCTGAAATTGACTATAGTGGGGATGGCAATGAGTCTTGCTGTCCAAAAAATGTATGGAAGAAACACCCAATTTCTCCTTGTCATCCATTTTGAGACAATGGTTGTAACATCTTGTAAATCGCAAGTGTTCATCATGTGCTTCCCATTTCTGCGGCTTGAAACATGTTGAGATCCCATCCCGACTTCACCACGTGCCCCTCTGTCGCCCTGACCCGTTCCACCGGCGCGATCACGGTGCGCGCCACCTGAGTTTCTGCAACTTTGGATGGAGGTTGTGGTTGGATTTCAGTGATTTCACCAACAGGCCAGGCCAACATAGCAGGATTCGGTCCAGCAATGACTCGGGCTATATATAAACCACAATGGAGAATAGGAAGATAAGGTAAGATAATGTAAGATATAGTAACCCAGCAAAGACACAAAAAATTAAGATCCAGAAATCGATATGTTTACAACCTTTATTGGCACCATGAATCTGAATATCACTTTAGCCCCCGGGCCATGCCAGCAACTCCGCCACAAACGAAGTGCTCAGCCGTCTTTCGCCATTCGGACGACATCACTTTCGAGCCGGGCCGTGGAGACCGATAGAATCGATAGCTAAGTTGGTTTCTGTTCCCCCATGGAACTATAGCTACCCTCTGGTAAACATACAAAAAGCTATTGAAAATGGTCATTTATAGTGGATTTACCCATTAAAAATGGTGGATCTTTCCATAGCTATGTTAAATTACCAGAGGCTACATGCCCTGTATATTAGTTCAATATATTCCATAAACCCAAAAGTTATCGTCGTTAGGATCTGTTCCTTTCGCCCAAACGTAGCTGCCCTTCTGACGGGGGGGGGCCATTGCAATGGTCTATGATTTGCTGAACATCATCATTTCAGGCGAACGTGTCAATCATAACTGATTACTGTTGGTAAAAAAAACTTAAGCCACAACAAACCACTTCTCCTAGGCAGCATGCAGTTTCTTCCCGAAAAGTTATGGTCATTGCTTCTTAAGGTGGCGACGTTGAACACGGTCACGTCACCCAGCTGTTGCGTCAGATCAACAAAGTGTGCAGAGGCTGCGGTCAGACGTTCCGTCACAATTTCCATAGACGTTGTCAGAAAAAAGGTCATGAGTCATGACTCCAACAAACTGTTTCTGTCTGTTTTATCGGGACTGCAGTCTGTGTTCAACGAGACTCACATATCTTCAGATGTCAAGGTAAAACCAGCCGTTTCTGGTTGCCGCAAAACCACATCTTTTCGGCAAAGGTCGAGATTGGGGCTGCACGAGGCCGAAGCATTTGATCGAAACTTGCGACCTGAGTTGATGAAGTGCTCAAGCACGTTCGGGATTTCATGGAACTAATTACAAGGTGGAACTCGCTTATGCATCGTGGGGTTGTCTCAAGAGCTAAGTTTGTGGGGGCTGCATCTATACGCTGGTTGGTGGTTTCAACCCCTCTGAAAAATATGAAAGTCAGCTGGGATGATTATTCCCAATATATGGGGAAAAAAATGTTCCAAACCACCAACCAGTCTATAAACTAGTGTAAACCATCTGGGGCAACTAGGGGGCCCCGCTTTGCAACTATCTGGTTACAAGGGAGCTGTTAGGAGATTGTGCAGAGCTCCAACCCCCAGGGATGGATAAAATCATGGGGAAATCATGGGAAAACCATTGGAGGATAGCCACTGTAATGGAAAATCATTGCAAAATCCATCTATCTCTATAATATAGTATTACATAGTACCTATAATGGGGATATTGATATAACATGATATAACTTAACTAACCAACTTGACATGATATTGTTTACAATGGAAGTTTGATGGTCTCGAGTCTCGACCATCAACTTTCAGGGATCGTGATTTTGGATGGGATTTTGCCCAAGGGGCATATGGTGGAGATACCCGGCCTGGTAATTTGTTACACTTTGCGAACTGGAAAATGGCACATAGAAATAGAGGATTTACCCATTGAAAATTGTGTTTGCCATAATTATGTGAAAGTTTACGAGAGGGTATAGGGATTGAATTGAATCATGTTTGTTCTGGATTGTCCTGGCTGGATCATAACAATTCACCAAGCTGAAACGATTATGGTCATTTGGGGATATTCCCCTTACATCAAGTGAGGGTCGTTCTAATTTATCCAGAGTCATTGGCTATATCCGCGCAAAAAACGATGGAAACCCTTTACTTTCCATAGTTCGTGGTATACACCTCACCATATTCGCCATATTCCACGATATATGATGGTAATCATTGTATTTTCCTGAACATAATTATGAACGTGCAACAACTGATCACTTGACTCGAACCATGAGGAAAACTTACAGGTCAACCTTTCACCGCTCACTGAAAAAAAATACGAAGTGGATTTCAGCTTGATTTTCAACAGCTTCTTCCATAATCATCCAAATCCATTTCTGAGTTGTTCACTATGACTGAGTCTTGAGAGGTATTGAGAGGTATTAGGTATTGATAGGGATACCTCGCCTTGAAACACACAAAATGTTCCAGTCATTGCAGCTAACCATGGAGGTACTTTCATCCCTCAGTGCCTGTTTCTTGGGTTGTACTGTTCGATTCATCATGTTTGTTGCTAAATGTCAACCCTCAGTACCCATCCTGAAATTGAACAGAATGGTCTACTGTATGTCTTGTTGAAACAACAACATTATGTTGGCAGGCTATTCACGCTGTTGATCCATCAACTGTCAGGGTTGATTCATGTTGATTCCGTATTTTTTGTTCTACAGTGGATTCTACAGTAAATGGCTCATTGTCTTTAATGGTAGGACCTGACCCCTATAGCCGCTATAGCCTTGGTTCTTCATGGATTTTCTGGAACCCAACAACATTGCCAATCTTAGATATCCCGCAAACACATACGTATTTTACCGTTGTCTTTTAACCGTCTCCTGCCCACATATATTTATATATATATATATATTAATATATATAACACCAAAGTATATTGTACCAAGTTTTTTGAAACAGCAGCAGGATTTATTAGTTGAACCAGTAGAACTAAACCGTACTAAAACATTTCCCGCATATTCCAGGATTAAGTTGACCAAATTTCATAGTCCTCTGGAATTATCCATCAACAAGGTGCGCCGCCCCAGTTATGTTTGTTGATATATATATATATATATATACGCGAGGGGACTGAGGTTCTCCGATGCCATCAGCTGTGTTTGAGTGTCAACATGTAAAAAAACAGCTGGCGCCTAGGTAATTTGCTAATTTTTCAATAGTGGCAACGTCCTTTTCAGCATCATGTTGAACGGATCATGTTTTTTTCGTCCGTTTTAAAGCAGAGTCATCTTGTGCCACAAATCATGTTCTCAGAAGTCAGAAATCGCATATTTTGGTGTAAAATTGTGAATAGTCATCGTATAGTCATGGCGTGGTCATGTAAAATTGAGCAAATGTACTGTGTTTTCTCAGGCATTTTGCGTCATGCTACTTTTGCACTGTTATTTGCAATGAATTGGCAATGTGTAGAAAATTGCAAGTGCTGACAGTCAGGCGATTTTTGTGTTTTCATTCTATATAGTAAACTGAACATGACGGTAACATGCCCCACCCCACCCCACCCCTCCCATCAACGTAGCATCAACGTAACATGAACATGACGGTAACATGCCCCACCCCACCCCCCCCCTCCCATCAACGTAGCATCAACGTAACATGAACATGACGGTAACATGCCCCACCCCACCCCACCCCTCCCATCAACGTAGCATCAACGTAACATGAACATGACGGTAACATGCCCCACCCCACCCCACCGCTTCTCCATCGGAGAACCCCAGGCCCCTCGGGTATATATATATATATTATATAATCCCAATGAACACTTAGTTTGTTATATGTCAAATTCTCCCCTTGCTGACCCCAAACGAATTCACCTGAACTAAGGATGCCGAACAGTTGAAAGTTACAGATGGGGGGAATGCTGTTGGCAAGAAACAACAGTCCACTCCGTGTTCGAGGCGATGCGAGACCACAGGACGTGCGGGTGGCCAGAGGGGGAGGTGCGCTCCGCCGTGTTCGTGGCATTGACTATGCAAGTCGACATGCCTAGGTTTCCCAGCATCACGACGCCGGGTACTGAAAAGGCTGGCACCACTACCCGGTGGTTCAGTGGAATACCACCTTGGGTGGTGGCGACCCACCCGTCCGGCGTTTGCGCGACTGTTTCGTCCGCGATGCTCGTCAGAGCTACTCCTTGGGTTTTATTGGGCATCGCGCCCACAGTGAGACCTTTGGTCAGGGGGAGCGCAGGGCTGAATGCAAAGAGTGTGTGGCTCTTGGCCGCCGCTTTGGCTTTCGCCATAAGCTGCCCAACTGTCGAAGCCTGCGCCTGCGGTGGGAGTGCGACTGCACTCTTTGACGCTGCTTTCGCGGTGATGTCTGCGACCCTCGACATGTTGCCCAGAGGGGTGTACACTTAGCGACACAGCCCCACCTCTCAAAAATTGTCCCGTACCTGGAAACTGGGAAACAGCTTCATGGGGGGAAACAAACCATCGATTTGTACCATCCTGGTTTCACCACATTTTGTAGTAGGATTTTCAGGATTTTTGCTGGAACCCATGAACTTCACGTCGCGAAGTGGCAACGATCAGAAGCCTTCCTCGGCTCTTCTGGGCCGCGCTTCCATTTTTCGGGGCGGACCGCCACCATAGCCTTGTTTCAAGGCTCGGAAAAGGATGCTGGGCCATGGTGCTGGGGGTAAATGTTGACATTCCAGCACCATGGAGCATGTGGGAGATACCAAAACCATCATTCAACCCATATAGCCATCAACTAATCAGTACAATTACCATCTGGTTATTTAACATAGCCATGGAAAATCACCATCTTCAATAGGTAAACCATCTATTTCTATGGGCCATTTCCCATGGCTATGTTAAATAACCAGAGGGTATGTACAATATTGTACAATTGCTTATTGGTTGACATCCTTCTAAACACACAAGAGCAGACATCCCATTCCGATTAGACACCACAAACACATTCAACAACAAGTCTGATTGAAACTTCTGCCAACTTCAGAACGTTTGCCTTGTAGAAAATGTTTTGTGGGAGGACATGTACTCGGCAAAATCATTCAGATCTTGAAGTCAGTCTGGACGACCCAGGGGTACATTGATCCAGGGTTGAAATTATGTCTATACCACACAATAAATGATGCTGTGAGAAGAACACCTTCTATAAATGGGGCACTGTCCATTGCTATGTTTGATTACCAAAGGGTACATCTACTCTGCACCGGCTCGTTTTGTCCACATCATTATCAGCTCATCTCTTCAATTTCAATTGATAAAAACTCAAGCATACCTATATATATAAACGTATATGTATATGTTATTATATGTATATATATATATAAAAGGTATCGCTTGATCATACAGTAATTATCTAGAATCTAGAAATGGACACAATGATCACAATGTGCTTATAAAGCATTATTTTGAAAACCTACTAACCCACTATCATCTGTAAGAACGCGGCCAATCCGCCAATCTTAGATAGCTGCCCTTCAACAAAAAATAGATGCTTAGTATATATCTGGGTAAATTATAGTATTTCACTAACCTGAAACTTGCGGCCATTTGGGAATGATTCCCCTAAAATAAACCATGATTCCAGTGGAGAACAGTGAGGTCGTGATCAAATTTAGTCAGATTTTATGATGGCTATGTATTAAGTGTATGTTATATATTATGTTTATGGCTTATATATTGTTTATGGCTTATGTATTATGTTTATGGCTTATATATATTATGTTTATGATAGCTGGCTGGCTATAATTTATTTATATATATATAACATGTCAATGGACAATCATCCATCATCCATTTACAGGAGACTTCTCAGCCAGCCATGTTTGATTGCAGGTGGGTATCCCCATTTATAGCAACAAATGGGGGTTTTCAACATTGGCTACCCCAACTCACCATGGGGTTTCAATATTGCTAAGTCATGGTCATCCATGACTTGGAGGGTTTCGGGCTATTCCATTCATATTCCATAGTCCGCATTCCATTACATTATCTGGTTGGTGGTTTCAACCCCTCTGAAAAATATGAAAGTCAGTTGGGATGATTATTCCCAATCTATGGAAAAATAAAAACATGTTCCAAACCACCAACCAGATTATTATATCCCAATAAGATTCCACATCATATTCCCATGGTCTTCCATAGCACCAAATCAAAGTCCTGAAACTCACCATCCACTTGAAAAACGGCCCGCCTCGGGTGCTGAAGTCATAGCCAAGCACCTGCAGTTTTCAGGCCACATCTGTGGGGGTTCCAGAGTAATTGGGAATCCCCCCATTTATCTGGGGTTGGTAACTGTCCCATTTTGGGTATATTGGACATCACCTTATAGTAGCCATTATAGACCATATACCTAATGGTTGGGTGATGTTCAATGGGGACATTTAATGACCCATGTTTATGGATGGTTTAGAATGGAAAATCCGATCTAGACATTTTAATGGATGATGTAGGGGCACCGCATTTCAGGAAACCTCCATATATTCTGTGGATTTCTGTGGCATGTTTTGGATCAAGCGTGGGCTACAATGGACACCCACAAGATGGCAATGATCATGGAGAACATGATCAACGGTGGATGGTTGCGAAATCCTGCACCAGTTGGTAACCATGAAAGGTAACTATATGAACCACTATAAATGATGGGATTTTAATGGGATAACCGGGATAACCGATCTACCAACTGGTGATTCGGATTTCGCCAACCATCCAGGATTTTTTGGGCGGGATTTTTTGGTGCCATATTTTGAGACAAACCAACCACTGGCCCATGGCAGATCATGAGGATTCAACAAAGAAGGGGATTCATTCCTAGAGTTCAATCAGCAGAAATTGAGAGATGATCAGTAAATGACATATAATGACATAGCACCAATCAAAAAAACACCACCAAACGCTGAGCATTTTACCAATTCTCAATGGGCTTCAGCCCTAGCAAGGAAATCCTTGCCATGATCAATTCATGAATTGGGTTCCCGATGTCTAATTTTTTCAATATGTCGATCGGATCCTAAGTTTCCATTTGTTTTTTGGTGAAGCCTGGTGGTCAAAAACCAAGTTTTTCCCCCAACCTTCGACTGAATCCCAATTGAAATCCCATGTTTTTCTGGTTATATGGGGGTTTCTGTAAATTGGGGTACCCCAAAATGGATGGTTAATGGATGTTAATGGTAAATCCTATTTCAATGGATGATTTGAAGGTCCTCAGGAAACCTCCATATCACAAGTACATTTTTCCAGCACCAAAAAAGGCTGGTTGACGACGTCAAGGTGCCGCTGGCACGCGCGGCAAGAAGCTGAAGACCAAGCGAACGATCGGATGACCCACCTGCAGTTATGGCCCGAAATACCAGTTATAAGTACTAACAAAACCCCATTTATAGAATGTATAATCCCACTGAAATAACCAGTTATAAGTAATAGCCGTGGCCTTAACTGTGGGGATGGTGATAGCTTCACCACCGACTTCGATGGGCCATGGGTCGAAAGACTCGACAGAGGTGGTGCTGTAGGGAGCGGAATCGCTGAGGTTGGTGAACAGAACTCCAATGTCACTACCCTCTGGTAATTTGTTACATAGCTATTGAAAATATCCCATTTATAGTTGATCTACCTATTCAAAATGATGATTTTCTATAGTTATGTTAGTTTACCAGAGGGTATGGTTTACGGTAGATATATCTATACGTCTATACTTACGAACTGGTTTATAAACCAACTTATAATTGGGGGGAAACACCTTGTAGTTGACTAGAGGATCATCACCTAAGGATTGAAATGGATTATAGGGGATTATAACCCAAGGATACCTAAGGATTATAGTTGACCATGCTGCTGGTAAATGGATTGCAATTGGGATTATAGTGGGTTATGATAACCCACAAAAACTAATCAATAATCAGTTAGCTAATCCCGTGGCCCATCTATAAGTATAGGATTTGGTCACTTAACATGGGTCAGAAACCTTGTGAGGCTCTTGGTAGCTGATGATTGATTAGAACCTCTACTAGTATTGAAATGTATTGAAGACATTGAGAAAATTATAGGTTCAATCAATGGCCATTCCAGGATCCTAAATTGGAGGTACCTACCATATATAAGGCCTATGTAAGGGAATATCCCCACAAAATATGGCCTTATTATATGGTACAGTACCTCCAATTTAGGATCCTGGAATTCCCATTGATTCAAGTTGACAATATGAAAGTGCATCGTGAAGTATGAGAATCATCTTCTGAGAACCGGGAGCTTCTGGAGCTTGCGCTGTTCCTATTTCATTTTATTTGTAATGAGACCAGGTTCCGGAAAACCATCTCAAAATTGGAATCCCATTCAATCCCATTTAAGCCCTCTGGAAAATCACCATTTTTGATGGGTAAATCCACTATTTCTATGTGCCATTTTCAATAGCAAACTGTTAGTTTACCAGAGGGTAACCAATAAGGGGGGGTTCCTAAAATATCCTAAAGCTGGTGGTACCATACCTCAAATCACCCCAGAAGTGTCAAAGTTAAAAATTCTGGTCGAATGACTTGGCTAAAGGGGTCAAAACCCTGGCTGCCCTGGCACCAAAAGTGAACCCAAAATAGCTGGGATTAATGGATGTTCATCCCACTAAATTTGATCATCATAGTTTTTGACCCATCCATATGATATAACAAGGACCAAGATCAAGTCCGAGTGTTTTCGTGTTAGGAAGGGCAAATAAATGTGTTCAATTTCATGATTTTCATGGTCCACTGGGGAAGATCCCCACGGAAAATCCCAGACCTTCCCCGCCTGCCACGGCTCCGCGCTCCGCGCCAGCCGCGCCAGCCACACTTCGACGCCGGCGATGCCGGCGTCCTCGGCTTCGGCGCGGCGCGCGCGGAGCAGCGCCAGCAGTCGCAGCAGCTGACGACGCGGCGCCCAGAGCAGGTGGGGCAGGTTGGCCACGTAGCGTTTTCTGGGGATGGAGATGAAAGGATGGGGTTACAATGGAAGATGTGGATTTTATAGGATTTTTTATGAGATTTCATGGAATTCTAACTTGAAAAGATTTCTTCTGGAATTTCATGTCAAGAAACAGTTGACAAAGGAATGCGGAAGTGCGGATTTTCATCCACTTGAATTTGCAGATCTGATTTGGGGGATATGTATCATAGGATTTTTCATGGGACTTAATGGGATTGAATGGCGTTTAGTGGGATTTAACAAACCATAAATTATGGTGGTGATATGTGCCATGCATGAGATTTGATGAGATTGGGATTGAACCAACGATTGGTGGAAGTCAACAATTGTTGCGGAGAATGAACCAACATTTACGACATAAGAAAAAAAGGGTGCAAGCAAGAGACTGAGAACCAAGAATGACACAGAGACACTATTAGCAAATTCACATATCCTTGTCAGATCTTGAAAACAAGCGATGTTGTCAAAGAGTCGTTTATCGCATACCTGACCGAAAACTAGAATAACAACGACAATATCCTCCAGCAATAAAACATCGCAATGGAAAATCCATGATATTCCAAATCTAGGGTTATAGCTTCAACAAAAACGAATCTATAAATGGGAGATGCGATGCTTTGCCACGTTGAAAATTACCAGAGGCTAACAATGATTGGACATCCATTTCATGGTCAATCTTATATACCTTCCAAACGATGTTTTGTTTTAGCTGGTTGGGCTCACATAACATATATATATATATGCAGCAGCCCTTAAACAAAAAATAACAAGTGCGTCCAGGATGTTGCAGATGATATTTACTTCGTATGTCTAGGTTTCCCCACTTTTCTATTTTGGGGTTGCTATATTTTATATGGCAAAAATTACGTTGTACTAAAGTTGCTAAAGTATCCATCCAAGGTTGACGCAGATGCCTGCAGAAACCCCTTTGAGACATAGAACATTTACCTCTATCCCATCCCACTACAGCGGTTGGTACATGCATATCCCGATGAAACGGGTTATTCATGGTTACATTTCATGATTCCCAAAAAAAAACAGCTTGTATAACCGGACAACCCATGACAAAAACAAACCACCATCATTTATACAAACCGTGTCCCCTTATCTTTGATGGCTAATCCCAAAAGAAACTCTGTAATTGATGGTTGAGTCCCATTAACCCATGAAATCACCATCAAATACTATTAAAACTGAATCCGAGACCCTCAACATGCTCCAAGATCGAGGAACTTTCCAGGGAGATTGGGGTCATCAATGGCAAAATCAGCTCCGGCTTCCTTACTGCAGGAAATGGTCTAAGTCGCAGATGGGACAATCCAACTTTGGAACATCTCCTAATCTTAAACACCCAGAAACCATGGTGTTTTTTGGGGGATGAAACCACATATTGGGATATATATTTGGGACCAACAAAAAATGGGGGCGTTAAAAATATGAACGGATGGGATGGGATTATTTAAAAAATCATCCCTAAAACAGTACCCTCTGGTAATTTAACATAGCTATTGAAAATGGCCATTTATAGTGAGTTTTCCCATAAAAAATGTGATTTTCCATAGTTATGTTAGTTTACCTAGAGGGTATCTTTGATGGAACAAAATCTATAAGTTGCCATATGTTTGACCCGAAATGGTGTTGAAACGCGGGATTCTCCAGCCAGCATTGGAGATTAGATCTGCAAGGCCCGGCGTTTCAATGTCTAAATTGTGCCAATTCAGCCAATTAGAATGGTCCATATACCTATATTATCCTATATTGTATACTTTATATAAATAATAATAATACTAATAATAATAATAATACCAATAATAATAATAATACTAATAATAGCACTAATAATAATACTAATAATAATAATACTAATAATAATACCACTGCTAATAATAATAATCATATAATATAATATAATATAATACAATATAATATAATATAACATAACATAACATAATATATATATATATTATTGATTGATAGTCTATCTACTCCAGGATGACATTTAGTTCCATATCACCCTTCTCCATAAATCTCACCGTTTTCGTTCACCGCACGCCAGGTGTCCACCGCTCCAGAGAGAATGCTGAGGCCATCGGGATGGTCACAGCCAGAGCCCAGGCTGTCCACCAAGCTGTGAAAATTCGTCAAGCGGCCCTTCCTTAGTCGCTGGACAGTGGCTGGACAGTGGGCAGTGGCTGGAATGGAGCCTGGAAACAACCCCCAACTCCCCAATTTTTTGGGAACGAATAGCAGCATAGCTGAGATTAGGTTAGTATCTCATTATAAGTAAGAGCAAAAAGAGCTGAGGGTGTAGAAACCGATCCATCCGGAGGACCCCAGCATTGGGGTTTCTTAAACAGAACGGATGAGGCAAGGCTTAGGGAACCATCCGGATGCCAGGGGTTTGATTCACAGCGATTTCCCCTGAGAAGCGCTGTTCATCCATCATTTTCATCTATGAACCCAGGTGAAGTCACCATTTCTCCCAACATTCGCACATTTAATTGTACTCTTTGGCTCTTTGGACGAAAAAGGCAGGTCTAGTATGAATCCCGGTATCAATCATGTAGATTAGTTTATATTCAATATATTATAAATCAACCATCATATATATATATATATGTATTATATAAAATATATATATATTAGGTTTTGTCTGAAATGAAGCACCCACAGTTGATCATCATGTTCCCTCCCCCATGGACACCATGGCCTCATGACTTCGCCATCAAAAAGACACCAAGGTGCTGGTACACTTCCCAGGGCGGACTGTAGTTCCATGCAATGCCTGACTGGACCCTGACTGGTAACTGGAGAAACCCAAGGCTCCAAGGTTGGGAAAAAATAGCGAACACATCACAAAAACCATGCGAAAATCACCAACTCAACTGGTACTGGTACTGGTAGCCGTTCCTTCAAACCCAAGAAATGATATTCATGGGTCCCCATGGTAGCAGGATTCGAATGACTTCATCTCGTGAGGATGGATCCTTTTCGCTGACCAATGCGGCAATCCAATTCCAGACTCAAAAACAAAACCATTATATACCCTCCAGTAAACTAACATAAACTAACGTAGCTAGGGAAAATGACCCATCATTAGATGATTTACCCTCCAGTAAATTAACATAGACCCTGGTAGATAGGGGTTGGAAGATTAGTTTCCTCTAAACATTGGTGATTTTCAGGGTCGAACTGTTAATTTACCAGAGGGTAATAGATGTTAAAAACAAGTAATTATTCTGTGTTGCTCTTTACCCATCCAACTGTAGTGAACATGGTGATAACAGAGGGTACCTATTGAACATGGTGATTTTCCATGGCGAACTGTTCAAGTACCAGAGGGTCATCCAAGAGCCCAAGATGTCATCGTCAGAATCCATCCCATCGTTAAGAATCACCCCTCGAAAGGGAGACCCAAATGAATAAACCCACGACTGAATCAGGGTTTCCTGAGGACTATTTGTGAACAGAGAGGACATGGACAAAAATTTTCTGGTTTGCCTGAAAAAATACATTGGGAACAAGTAAATTTGAAAGCACTGACCAGATTGCAAACTGTTGATTGTCCGAACATGTTGGAAAAAATAAAAATTCCATCTCATGAATTATCATATGTTTACCAAAGAAAAGGATCCAGGGATCCATCAAATGTCACCCATATATGGACATCCATACCCCCGTTCACTTGCAACAAAATGTTTGGAAATCTCCATTCCTATCATAATTTCACAGTGCTTTACACAGTACAATTGCTACAGTAGTATAGATTACAAGAATTAGTTTTGCCGGGGTCAAGCATATTTGGATGGGCCATGAATTTAGCCGGTTGGTAATCGCCAAAAATGAATAGGTACGCATTTTTCCTTGGTTGTAACCCCCATTTACAGTAACTCCATCAAAAAAACCCTACAGTATGATATTGTCACCATGTATTTTGGATCTCCATGATATAATCACAAACTAATTAGCAATCGGAAACTGGACAAATCCCGATGTACCCCGTTGAGTTTGATGATTTTCCGGTTTACCCTCCGGTAGTTTAACAGTTTGTTATGGAACATCGCCATTAATTATATATATATACACATATACATCATAATACATCATAATACATTGATACATCATCTAAGATGTCTTTTTTAAGGGGCCATGATTCACAGCAGTCGTTACCCCCAAAAAAGATGCCGAAAACATCCGAAAACTAACCAACCACTGTTTTTGGTATGGTAACTATAGAATACTATAGTTACTAACTACCACTAGCTATAGTTATTGATGTTTTTCCCAACCCAATAACCGTCACTAACCACCATCCCATCTACTGAAAGCTATCGAGACACCATCCCAACGCGCGCCATAGCTCTCCGCCAAGGAGATGTAGGCGCGCGCCAGGGGCTGACCTAACGATGCCATGGAAGTGGCGCTGACATCTTGGCCTAACGTCAACCCTGGATTAATAAACCATGGTTTATTAATCCAAGGTTGACATTAAATTGGTTTGACTTCAGTTGACTTCAACCTTCAGCTGATCTAAGTTGGCTGGAAATTGACTTAAGTTGACTTAAATCGGCTTAAATTGCTTTAAATTTTAAACTGACTTAAGCCAAAATAGTAGTAGCTTTGCCCGAAAATTGGGGATCTCCCCTGAATTTCATGTGGTTTTCCATCATTTTCTCCCTTTCAAATGGCCCTAAAGCCTTCGGCAAACCCCCTGGAAAACCCCCTGAAGCAATGCGTCGCAAATGAAAAAACCTTCAGGGAATTTCCTGCAAAGGTTGGTGTACCGGTGTCAAGAATAGCTAAAATCATTGTATATGATTATGTGTATATATATATATACAGTTATATAGTTATATCGTTATAGTTATATAGTTGTATAGTTATATAGTTTTATAGTTATATGATGTTATATGATGTTATATAGTTATATACAATATGCTACAATAATACTTCAAAAAAAAAACACATACCTTTGTCTGGCGCTGGGCGTCTGGCACCTCTTTTCGGGATCTCCCCTCCAATCCTCCAATCCGATTCTTCTGAAACATTGATGCAGATATAGTTTCAATATAAGGTTTAATATGTGGATTAATAGTAAAATCCCATTATAGTCACTAATATAGAGATCCATATTGAACTAGAACTATACCCTCTGGTAATTTAACATAACTATGGAAAATCACCATGTTTCATGGGAAAAAATCACTATAAATGGTGATTTTCAATAGCTATGTTAAATTACCAGAGGGTATACTAAAAATAGTGATCCATTCGCTGAAGAAATCCCCAGATTTACTGTTCGCTATCACAGCTGGGGTCCCATGAGATCCCCAAACTACTGCGGTTGAAGAGTAGAGAATTCACGACTGTTAATAGATGTAATTACAGTACATATATATCATTATATATATATCATATTATATATATATATATATATATGTATTATACTATATATATATATATACTAAATTAATATATTGTTATTACTTATGATTATTATTATTATATTCTATATCATAAAAGTATATACACAAGCTAGTGGATGCTAGTGGTGGTATCCCATATTTTCCCATTATATCCCACTATGTACATATCTATCTATATATATATATATTATACGATAATATATACATATATATACACGTATATACTCATTCTTCTTGATTTTATCCTCCAGCAATTTAACATAGCCACGGAAAATGGACCATTAAGTGCAATGATTTACCTATTAAAAAGGGTGTGATTCTCCGTAGCAAACTGCTAAATTACCAGAGGATATCACAAGTCTTGTCAAATTCTACTTAGCTTATGCGGTTAATAACCGTTGCTATTTGTTTTTCTTTCATGGTGATGTAAACATTTAAACAGTTTTTCGGGTGATTTTATCAGGGTATCATCCCCTTGTTCTATCCCCAAAATAACTTGTTGATACAACTGGTTGATACAACTGGCTATATCCCCATATCAAGAATCCCCGGAAAAAAATCCTCTATGGGTTTCCCAAATGATATATTTACCATGAGGAACATAAAGACGCTCCTTAAACAAACCCATTCGTATCCCAATTCTTCTTGGGTTTATTGAGTTTATACCTCCAATGGAATACTCAGCTGAGTCACCATGAAGTCACCATGAAGTCACCATTGGGTTTCCCCATCCCAAGGTTCTTTCTCCATTAGACCATGGTGGTGTACAATCAGTATGATTATCACAATGAAGTTCTACAACCTACAACCATTTAACATATATCATATTAACAATCATAACATATTATAACTCATAATGAAGTTATGTAACCATCACATTAACTTGTTAATCATTAAAAATCATTCTATAACGATTATATATTCACCACTATGGAACATAGAATATTCACCACATATATCATATACATGTGATGCTTACCCTATGAAAAACATACTATTGATATCTATCAATCTTTATTCACCACTAATTACGATGTGATGCTTATTCATGCTTATTCCATGTTACCCTCTGGTAAACTAACAGTTTGCTATTGAAAATGGCCATAGAAGTAGTGGATTTACCCATTAATAGCATGATGATTTTTCATAGCAAACTGTTAGTTTACCAAAGGGTATATTCCCCATATATTGGGTAGTATAATCCCTTATAATCATCAACCAACCATCATTTATCAGCTATATTCCATGAATAGTTCCATGCTATTCCCCCCAAAATATGGAAATCAAAACGGTTTTGACCCCTCCAATTCTCCAAAAAACGAGGCACCCACCAAGCCTTCCTCCGCCAGCGTCAAAAGCATCTCCTAACTAAAGGGGCGCCCAACCATTCAGAAGCCACGAAGAATGTAGGGATTTCGACGAAAATAGGAGATTTACCCTCCGGTAAACTAACATAGCTATTGAAGATCACAATTTCCAATGGGTAAACCATCTATAAATGGGCCGTTTTCCAGTTCGCAAACTGTTAGTTTACCAGAGGGTAACAACCAAACAATGGGGATTTCACCAATTTCACCATCCAAAATTGGGATTGAACGAACTATCAAACATTATAAACATGGGGATTTTGAACCATGAAACATGGGGATTTTAAGTGGATCATCAGGAGCAATGATCATCAACCCAGATATGGAATTCTGGTGGCTATTCCCTGGTTTTTTGACATGAAAGTCGATGACCACCAATGACCTATCGATTATTAGAGCTATCCCAAATACTTGTTACATCTCTTTACGATGCCAGAAAGACTCTGAAACCACCGCCGAGCATCGTAGAACGTGCTCTCCTTGGCTTATGCTGCTTGGGTTACCACATCACGGTGTGGGTCCAGACTTTTGTAGCAAAGGAATCCCAGAATGGATCAAAATCAAACATGCTGAGGAGAGAAGCATATTTGTTGGGGTTATATAATAATCTTGACCCATACCTTTGCAGTAACCATTGAGCACCGTTGCTATCTCAGCAGCTCAGCTGGGCAAGTGCAACTCTTGAATCTGCATTGATCGTCTCAGATCTTTTGGACAAATAGCAACAGCTCAAAAAGCGGGTATGGATCCTTTTTTCCGGTGATCAGAATGTATGGAACGAGTAAAATACGTATGTGTGTATATATATATATAAGAGGATTGACCGGTACGTTCTGACAAGGTATATCTAACTTGTACTAGGTACAGCTTACCATTCTTAGGTATGGATCAAGGGTATGGATCGGGTTGACATTTTGAGTCTAAAACTTTTAAAACCCAGCCTAACCAGGCACAACTCTTGAAGTTTTCTCCGGGAATACGCGGTATGATGTGTTTTTGTAATTCAACGTGGAAAGGGAAGATGACTATGACCCATCTATCTCCATTACAAACATCACCTGTTAGAGGGTTGACCAGTATTTTTGACCACCACAAAGTGCTGCATCACCGAAACAAAGAAAATTGGCACTTAACCATAGGTAAACTACTCTTTGTTCGCACTATATTATTATCAAGTGATCTTCACCCTCGAAAAAGGAGAGTCCATTTTCCGTACAAAGTGTGACCTTCGTTCAGTGCATCCAAGCTGCACATGCCTGGTCCTGAGCTCCGCGATCTTGTGCCACATTCCAGAGTGTCGCTGGATCCTGTTGCACCAACATCATCCCAGAAAACAAGCTGAAGGCTGCTGGGAAACTACATAAAACTAAAGTGTATGCCGCGTAAATGGTTGTTGACCCGTAGTTGGGAGATGATGATAGATGATTGCCGCTGTACAACTTACGGCAAAATCAATGCGTAACATTGATCGGTCTCGGAACTAGATGCCTCAACTAGTTGTTCCTTGTGAAACCAGAGGAACAAATGAACATCAACATGCAGGTTCCAGCAACCATTGAAACCTTTGCGCTGCGCTGGTCACTACGGTCACGTCATGGTGGTGCCAGCTCCCAAGAAGACAAACAAGGAATCTAAGAAACAAGAGGAATTTGGGACGGAAGATTGAGCATGACCAACATATAGTAAACATGGTTGCTTGATTTGTTCCCTAAAATTCGCCTCTACCGGTGGAATTGCTTTATATGTTGTATTTCATGAGTATTACCTCAAACTTATACAATACATCGCCCAAAACATCCAACGACATGTTCAATCAATTTAAATTTAGTTTTGTTCAAAACTGGTATCTAGAGTAACTCCAAACCCATCGGGACACATCCGAATCCATGGTTCATTTTTTAAATCCAGCCGGTTTTTGAGAACATCTCCAACTTCAACAATGAAATTTGAAAGAAATTCATGATTCACAATGACCCATGCCCAACTTTTTTTTTGAGAAAATCTCCAACTTTTGAAAACAAGGCCTTAAAACCTTCCAAGTCAATGTGAGTTTGTAAGTTTACTGGAGGTAGCATGACCACCAGGAGAATTTCTATGATTAAGGCCTTAAAAATGACCCATTGCTTAAACATCGACGAGGCCCTCCTGCTGACTGTCGAGGATGCCTTTCACCACCTGGAAATTCTCCTCCCAAGAGCGTTTTCCTCGGCAATGGCGCCTTAGTTTTCAGCATGCCCATGCCAGGTGCAAGGGTTATAGTTATATATATATATATAATATATCTGGTTGGTGGTTTCAACCCCTCTGAAAAATATGAAAGTAATTTGGGATTATTATTTCCCAATATAAAAAAAATAAAAACATGTTCCAAACCACCAACCAGATATAGATTTATAAAGATTTCTATAATAAGGTAATATAGGGTACCCCCCTAATGTATTGATCAAATAGGTAATACACCCCCCTAATACATTAGTTAAGTCATGGGGATATATATATATATACAGTATATGTAATGTCTGTCACTTCTTTCAATCTCCAAAAAAAAACAAGTTTTTCATGGGACAAAGTCACGGGGACATGGTGACATAATGTTGAATTATGGGATTTTAAGATCAACTTGATATGTGCAATGGTCAAAATACATGGTATATATGCATGTGGATCCACAGTGATTATCCCTGGGATGGTAGGAATGAGCAGTCCATTGTCCATCTGGATGGCATTTATGGGACTTAATTTTTGCTCCATACCATATATATATATATATATACCATACATATACCATAGATATATATATATATAATTCTATATATATATACATACAATTAAAAACATGGTACCAAGATGTGCCAAGTACAATTTAGTTGGATCATTCACAGCAAGGAGATAGGGGTCTGGTTCAAGATCTATTGGCATTAAATATCCTCATATATGTTTGAATGTCAAATGGTGAAACTTCATAAAACCCCGCAAACTTTCGAAACTTCAATCCTGGATACATCCCACTTAAACTGTGGTTAAGGCAGCCCATGACATCCCGTCATCAGTCCCCTCCAAGCGCCTTTTCTCCGAGTCACCTTGAAGTGACGGCGCAACAGAGCAATTCCAAGAAGGCGGAGTGATTCCAGCCATCTGTGCACTTCCAACCTCTGTGAAAACCCCCAGCCCGGTGCGTTCACCATGTTCACCATGTTCACCAGCAAAAAAAATAAGAAACGATTCGCCAAGACCTTGGGATTGGTTCACCAAAAAAAAAGATTGAACTGAACGGATTGAACCCTTGGTCTTTAATGAACCCAATCATAGACATATAGGGTTTACTGCAAGTGTTGCCATCATTCAAATCGGGGACATGTTGTTTTTTGTTTACACATAAACAAAGCCCAAAAAGGCCGCTGTGGAGTTCAGGACTTTTGTGGGTTTCCACGCCTGTCCGTTGGTGAAACCACGATGTCCTATTCAAAAAATGAAGGGACATGGTTTACCTATTGGTTGTTCCAGGGGTGGTCTATTCATGGCTCAGCTTAGATTCTTCCATAAGACAACTTGTTTTTAGCTGGTCAGGACATATTCAACTACAAAAAAATGGAATCAATGGACCATTCACAGGGAATATTCAGCTACTACATATCTATGGCAACTAAACACTCTGAATCTTCAGATTTTTCTTCATTCCATTCCATATATTCCATGGCAATTTCCAACTACTTTTCGGGCAACATTCATGGGAGAACACACCAAGAAACGAGCTCCATGTGCATAGCAGAAGCTTAAAAGCGCCTCAAGGGCGGGGTATGGCACAGTTCAAAGCCTTGAAAAATCTGTGTGAATGGATGGATTCATCATGATTCATCCCCCTTTCAGAATGATATTTATGTATATATATATGTTCAGATATTAGTATGGATCCATAGCCACATGATGTCACATGTTGTGATTGGCAATGGTGAAAAGATTCACCCGATTGGCATCACTTTATATCACAAAAAACACCCACACTTTGTATTGGGCAACCGGTCCCTGTTCTCTGTGCGAGTCAATATTGACTGTTTAGTTGATGATCATCCCCAAGATTATTCAAGGATAGTATGCCAACCCCGCCAAAAAAAAAAACAGCATAAACACTGCAAAAACTCTGCATGAATCGCTAGGCTTCGCATTCTCGATCTCGTGTCATCTGTATGAATCTGTAGCATATGAATTGTATAACTATAACTGATTGATAATGAAGAACACTAGTTCAAAACACCGTTTTTAACTAACCCGCGAAAAAAAAGAAAGATGGACGGTAGAATTACATTATGTGTTCCCCCTATTTGTACATGTATTTATCATGGCATCATCCCAGGCAGGGAATCTGGCCATTTTGCTGGGATTCAATCCCTCTGCCAGATACAGAGATCATTTAAACCCTCAAAGAACATGTAAGTATAATACTGGACATGCATCAAACTCAATATATATATATACAGTATATAAACAACCACCATGGTTTCGTTTCCCAGTCCATATCTATGTTGTAATTCACTAGGGGCCTAGTCCCTTCAAACTTGCGATCCCTATCATCATCTATATGTTTCCAACCTATACAAATTCATCCTTTGCCAGAAAAGGACATGTTTTTGTTTGACAATTGGGGGAAACTCCTAAATCCACAAACATTAAAAGTGCCAATAAACTCGGGCGGTACCCTCCGGTGTTGTCAACTATGGCGAATGGAAATACCTGAAGTAAACCGGCATTGAAATGGGAACATCATTTATTTGGTGATTTTCCAGCCAGTTTACTGGAATTTTACGATTTCACTATCATCAAACAGCCATCATCATGTATACAATAAAATTTATGATGCCACAAAACAGGATTTGTTTCTTGGATTTTACAGGATTTACCTAGCATTAAACATCATAAAACTACCTCATTACCTACCGGCGAAAAAGCCCTCCTTTTAAGTCGACACCCCTTCCGCTTCCGTCCGTTCCGTGGCACATCGCCCGCGTCGGTGCCAAAGAGATCCTGGCTGAACGGGACTGCGCGACTGGTGGCGACCGACAAAAATGGTGAAAATCAACAGATGTAACAAACAGTTGTGGTTATTATATGGTTAATATATATATATGGTTAATATATATGGTTAATATATGGTTAATATATATGGTTAATATATATGGTTAATATATATGGTTAATATATATGGTTAATATATGGTTATATAATATATGGTTATTATATGGTTAAACAGAAACTAATATAGCCCATTATCAAACCAAAAACCCATGAATAGTGATAACCTAAAAGTGATAACCCATTGCTAATTACCAAAAACTGGTGATAGCTGATAACCCATTACTGGTTATCACAATGGTGATACAACTATTGGTACAATTGTAAAATGGGGATATATAATGGGGGTTGCTATAGTCTATCTTGATCTGACTTAGATTTGCCATTAAGTAGTTAACTTAAGTATTTTAATTAAGTGGTGAAAAAAGTGGGTTAAAGCGGATATGATAAGCCACTTATTTCATCTCTTTACAGGTTCCACGATCCACTTCAGCAGCCACCCATGGCATCCCACACATGCACGATTGTCAGAAATCATCTGACCAGTTTACTGCATCCAACAGATTCCACTTGGACATAGAAGATCATCGAAGAAGGTAGCCCAAGTTGTGCTGAATTCCCCCCTTCAAAAACACATTGATTTATTCGATCTGGGTATCTCAAGGTTTCTTTTGCTTGTAGTTCTCCACCATTAATCCGCACAAAGCGGAGGCCCCTAGTTAGCGAAGTTGGAAAACCACTGTTTAGGACAATAGAACTTAACCCCCAAACCAATTGACCATCATTGAATACCATTGACTAACATGGGAAATCCCCAAGGTTTTCCCGGTTTTCCCGGTTTAACCGGTGACTCAACTGACCTACCGGTTATGGCTATGGGCTCGCTGCCAAGCAACATGTCTCATGGCAATGTTCACCACGTTGGAAAACATCGTTCCTCCGCCCTCGAAGAGTTTACACATCACCTGTCGGGACAGTCACCGATCGTTTTTTTTTCATGGCAAGCCATGGCTACTTGGTGGCTCATCCCAGTTAGTAAGTGGGTTATAACACCAGTTATAAGTGGATTAACCCTACTTATCCCATTTATAACTGGTGTTATAACCCACTTACTAACTGGGATGAGCCACCAAGTATGTTTAATAGGAAATCATGCTTTAAGACCATTGGATAGAAACTACTGTATCTTCATAAAGGAAAACATGGCACAACAATCTATAAATGGGGATACCTACATTGTTCTTTTGAGAAACTATCAACAACCAGCGATTTTTTGATTGGGATAATTGGGATTAGCCAATGGGAGATGTCATTGGCTGTGGAATGAAACATGAAAAACTTGCTCATACCCTCTGGTAAACTAACAGTTTGCTATTGAAAATGGCCATTTATAGTGGATTTACCCATTAAAAATGGTGATTTTCCATAGTTACGTTAAATTACCAGAGGGTACTTGCTCATATCTGTTCTAGTAAGAAAAGTCAAATACTCATGCACTCCCAGATGTGTTTTGCTGCTTCACCAGTTTTCCCGAGTTTTTACATCCATGGGCCCATGGGGTTTGTCTCAAAAGTTTAAAGAGTTCCATTCCATTTCATGGCGCATCGGCCTCGTCGACATGGCACAAGGCACAAATTCTGTTTTCCATCGCCACTTAATAGTACTGTTTTCCATAGTGTTGTTGCAACGATTTTGCGTGAAATAAGGGATTTTCCATAGATATCTAGTTCCATGGTTTTTGCCACGATCTTCTGGTGTTCACATCACGGTTTTTCCCCAGGATTTAACCCCTTCATCCACGTCACGGGGCGGCCGCCGTTGGTCACGCCCTGCAAGGAGTCCGCCAAGAGCTGCAGGGAGGCGGCCTCCAAGGTGCCAGACCTGGGAGGGGTGATCATGACAAGTATAGCTATTGAAAATGGCTATTTATAGTGGATTTACCCATTAAAAATGGTGATTTTCCATAGTTTATGTTAGTTTACCAGAGGGTAGTGTGTGTATATATATATATATATCATGATAATGTTAATAGTATACAAGTATTTATATATATACATCATGATAATAAAAGCTAATGTATTATATATATATCATATCATTTGTATTTTGACCATGGTATTAATGTTATATATTTGACAACGTTATTAATATTAATATATATATATATATGGTTAAATATAAATGTAATATTAATACCGTAGCTGGTTATATAATGTTATACATATCTGGTATGATATATATATATCATAATATATGGGATATCTATATGATATATGGTATTAAAGATATAATACTTGTTATACATATATATATATAGATAATATGGTTAAATGATAATGAACCAGATATATATATATATATAATATAACTAGTACTAAATACCATATAACTAGATATCTAGTATTAAATACCATTAATGTATTATATATCAGATCAATAGTACTTAACCCTGGTATTAATGTCATATATTTAACCATGTTATTAATATTATATATTTAGTATTAATATAATATATTTGTTAAACATATACAATATTAATGATAGATATCTATATCTGATTATACATTATGTGGTTATATAGTGTTATATAATATTGATAACATATATATATATATATACAATGGCACATATGGTTATATATATATATATATATATTATAGCTAGTGATAATAGATAATATTCCAGTTGTATATTCTATATATATATATATGATAATGATTATATAATATACTTAATGGGGAGATACCTAAGTATATAATAGTATTTATGGTCCCCAAGTAATCAATTATTGATATATCATTGGGAAAATCATCATTGATCTATTGTTGATATATTAAGTTACTATTATTGTTCAGCAATCATGACATATCAATCATGACTATATAACTAGTACTATGATTATTCCTATATTATTCACATATTAGTATATAGGTACGAGTATCTGAGTGCGTTGATTACTGTATTGCTATTAAACGATCATGACGAATAAATATTCAACAAACCATTACAGTTATGGCCCGAAATACCAATTATAAGTAATGCCAACATAGGATTAATAATCCCCGCGGTATTAATCAACCCCCTCTGCCCATTTTTTTTTTGTAATTTAAAAAGAGGTGGTCCCCCAGGATTAATAAACCCGCGGTATTAATCAACCCCCTGTGCTGAAATCAAATTTTTATCCAACAATTTTTATTTCCAATTCTATTTATTTCCAATTTGTTTTTACCTTTTTGTTTAATCATCATTGTTATACTTAAGGTTTAAGTTGATCATTGAAAAATTCAAAAAATGACTATTCCCCAAATGATCGATTTCTAATTAAAATCTTTATAAAAATCATCAGTTTGGATAGCTCCCAAAGGGTACCCCCCATGAGCCCATGTCCCCCATTAATAATAACCATGGTTTGCCCCCGATTAATCAACCACCTTTCTGATCCATGAGATTTTAACAAATCCAATAGAATTCAATTAAGATCTAATTGACGTAAGCCATATCCAAATTTTTATGGTTCAGAGTTGCTTACTATTAAGGGGTGGTCAAGAAACTAGCCAGAAGGTACCCCCCTACTTACCAGGGGGGGGGGTTGATTAATCCGATGTTGGCATTACTAAGAAAACCCCATTTATAGAATGTATAATCCCATTTGTAACCAGTTATAAGTAACAAATGGCCTTAACTGTAATAGTATATAATGTGCCCAACTCACCCCTAGTCGAACTTCCAGGAGCACGGGGGGATGGGCGAATTCGTCCACCGCCCTGGGTGCCCTTTTTCGGGCCGGGAAATTCGTCCATGCGCCAAGAGACTCACAGAAAGCCTTCAGCAAATCAAGAAACCTCAGCAAAACCAAGTGTGAAGGGGAATTCCCCCCAGAATTCTCAGTTTGTTGATAACCACCATTAACATATGAGTCTGAATAAATATATATATATATCTCTATCATAAACATTCACAAACCCTAGTTATTTAAGTTATGTGCACCAACTTAGCTGATCATTTGGCACCACCTTGCCATAAAAACATGCCGAAAAAACGCCCCCAACTCCTGCGTTTCATCGCTGAGACGCAAAAAACAATCGGCAAAAGCGGGCGGCCCATCTTGGTTCACCCACCTGTGGATCATCCGAACCCGCTGCTGCTCAGCTGGTCAGGGAACGTATCTCCCATAGGTGAACGTACCAAACCATAGGTCTCCCCATCCAACGTTTAGGGATAATATGGGATACCCTCTGGTAATTTAACATAGCTATTGAAAATGGTGATTTATAGTGGATTTTCCCATTGAAGATGGTGGATCTTTCCAGTTCGCTATTTGAGTTCGTTTACCAGGCCGGGTAATTACCAACCAAACTACCCATCCTCCATATGGGTTTGTCTGAAAATAGGGTATATTCCCAAACAAATAGCCATTTAATAGGGATAATGATCAGCAAAACCATTGGTTTTAGGGGTACACTATTTTCAGACACACCTATATTTTGCTGGATTTGTTCAGGTTGAATCAGGGAAACCCGACCGATTCACCGAGCCCGAAACCCGCGGGGCGCGCCTTGCACCGCTGGCAAGAGCCAAGGCGATCAACTCGGAGCCCTCGGCACTTCCCACCTTCTTCCTGCGGCGATGCGGCCCGAGTTATACCAGTTATAAGTACTAAGAAAACCCCATTTATAGAATGTATAATCCCATAGAAATAACCATAGAAATAACCAGTTATTAAGTAATAGCCATGGCCTTAACTGTATCATCAACTGGGACTTCACATGAGTTAACCATGAAACATGTGGATTTTAACGTCACTGTTACAGTAATTTCATCTGATTTAATCATTAACACTCAAATGTAACGATGAACAACATCCCAAAAATAATGTTGGTGTGCCTGAACGTATATACTTGATTTAAGCATTAAACATGATGAAACATGGACATTTCACCCGGAAAAATGATGACATGCAGGGACTTAACCACCATAGACACGAATTGAACCAATTAACAATAGATTTGGGATGATCTGGCCATGTCTAAAAAATGGTGTACAACTTAACCACAATTTATCGCCATGTCAAAAGGGAAAATCTCAATTTGTTGCCCTGCTGGGTTCATCGGATGGGTTCCATATTTATTTTTGGGGCTCAAAATCTGGGTCAACAATTGGTCCAAATTATCCCCATATTATTGCAGTTAAGGCCATTTATTACTTATAACTGGTTATTTCTATGGTTATTTCTATGGGAACATTCTATAAATGGGGTGACTTCTATTCGTACTTATAAGTGGTATAACTCGGGCCATAACTGTGGATGGTTCGTTCATCGTGGTCAAATACTTTAAATGAAGAAAATGTGTGGTCCCCTGGGCCGGCATCCCATGGCAGATTTTGACACGTTTCTTTGAGGATCATCCCAGGGCATGTCAGCATGGCTGCCATGGTCAAGTTACCATGGAGATTACCCGGCCTAAAAAAACGAACTCACATGTCAAGAACTGGACAGATCCATCACTTTTAAAGGGGAAAATCCACTATTTCGACTGGGCCATGTTCAATAGCTATATATGTATGTTTACCAGAGGTTTTGATGCTTTTTTGTCATCAACCCCACAGGAATCCCTAATGGTTTTTTTCAATCCCTATGGACTGATGACCACCCCCCGAAGATGGGCAATCCAATTGTTGATCCACACAGTCCACCAACTTGGCTTATTCCATAACTGAGTGATATTAGCATCGCCTGCAGTTTCAAGGCCCGAGTTATACCAGTTATAAGTAATAAGAAGTCACCCCATTTATAGAATGTTTTTTATCCCATAGAAATAACCATAGAAATAACCAGTTATAAGTAATAGATAGTAATAGCCATTGCCTTAAATGTGATCACTGGGATGATCCTTCAAGTTCACCCAGCTATTTCTTCCACTTCAGCATCCTAACGTGAACGAATCATACTCCAATCCTTCGACTTTGGTGTCCAACATACACTTGATGCCAACACCTTCCAAAGTAGATAAAATCAAACATATTCAAACAAACAAGATGTGACAGTGCAAGAAATCATGATTCAGATATCACTATCTACACACATCGGGATGAACTTCACACACAAAAAAAACGCAAACAAACAAACACAAAACATACTAAGCAAAGCGTGATTGGCTCTCTGATCAAGCTTCGCAGCAGTAATGCCTCAGTATAGAGAACAAATATGAAATCAGGCTCGACGGTGGAAATAGGGTGGAACCATGTGGAACCTGGTCCCTTGGCAGTGAGTCGCCAGCCCCGGCGTCCGGAGAAATTCCAAACGCAACAGCAGAAATCAAGTGTGTTTGTATGTTTACTGCTTGGTGGTTGAGCCCTACCCCTCTGAAAAATATGAAAGTCAGTCAGTTGGGATGATGACATTCCCAACATATGGACAGTGATAAAAAAAACATGTTCCAAACCACCAACTAGTAACTAGTATTGGCATTAGTTTTGGCATTAGTTTTGGGTCTATTCATTTGGGCGCGAAAAAATCCATGGGAATCCAAGGGAATGACCTTCCACTGCAGCAAAGTCGCGAATGGGTACACGCCCGTGGATGTCTGGCCCCTGCATCCAGGCGCGCGCGCATGCGCGCGCGCGGAACTTGTGGATCCAACTTGTTTTCGGTGTCTATTGGCATGGTACAGTTATGGCCCGAGTTATACCACTTATAAGTACGAATAGAAAACCCCATTTATAGAATGTATAATCCCATAGAAATCACCAGTTATAAGTAATAAATGGCCTTGACTGTAGACCTTAAACACTCAAAGTATTCCAAAGCCATTTGTTTGTCGGATAAAACATGATATAACATGTTGCTTCATCTCTGGTTGTACATTATATTACTGTAGTATAACTTGCGAACCCACCAAACAAAGTCTTGACTCAGTCAGTCTCAAACATTCATGGCAATTGGAAATCCATGTAAGTCCACGCCAATAAAATAGATTATTGTCCGATTTCAATGCCCATGTAAGGAGGATTGCCCAGCAAACCATGTTTCATTACCCTCTGGTAAACTTTCACATAACTATGGAAAATCACCATCTTCAATAGGTACTTCAACATAGTTTAACTATAAATGAACCATATTTTCCATATAAATCACCATCTTCCCCTGGTTTTCCCCTGGTTTTCCCCTGGTTTTCCCCTGGTTTCCCCAGAGGCTCCCCGGAGCTGTGGGCCATCCCCAGGGGCCCCCAAGGTACCGTGCGAAGCTCTCGCGCCAATCGGCTCCGGCTTGGACCTCACCCCACAGATGACATCGTTGAGGAAAAAACCGGCCGGTTTATACCTGTCAAAACATGGTGTTTTAGTGGAAATTCATGGGATATGTATGCATATTATATATATATGTCTATATACCTGGTTGGTGGTTTCAACCTAACCCCTCTGAAAAATGATGGAGTGAGTTCGTCAGTTGGGATGATTTTCCATTCCCAATATGATGGGAAAGTCATATAAAATTCATGTTCCAAACCACCAACCAGATACGTAATTTAATGGGTGTGTAATGAGACTTAGATATCTTAGATATCTTAGATAGTTTGTCCACCATTAATCAAACCATCGCTAGCTGGAAAATCCCCACGGGCCTATCCATCAAAGGATGGAAATCCATTGGTTTCTCCATGTTTCTCCGAGCAAAAATGGATCCATGGCCACTGTCTGAGAAGATACGACTAACCCTCCACAATAAGAGGAAATGATACCCCAGTCCCACTTCCTAATCTAAGAAGCTACGACTGGATCCATAGGATCCATAGGCCTAGAAAATCCCCATGGATGACTGGGGGTACCTTCAGGAAACCTCCATGGAAAAATGGCAAGGTCGGAAGGCCGGGAGTTGTCCGAGCATCAGACCCTGGGACCTCTGACTGGGAGCCAAGGGGCAGAGGTCCGTAGAGCTGCCTGGCCCTTTGACAAACTGCCGTCCAGATAGATTCTTTCCAACAAGAGGCAGAAAGGCGTGATGCGGCCTGGGAAAGGCATGGAAAGGCCCGACACTGCGTATGACGGCGTGTGTTATCCCAAGATTCCTTGGCTGTCCAACGGTTTTTCAACAATTCAAACGGCCATATTCAAAAACCACGTACGTTCAAACACTCCCATTTTTACGGTTTTTTTCAGTACCCCCAAAAGGATAGAAATATCACCATCATTTACTACAATTTTGGGATTAGATTTTATTGTTTTCTCTTTTTGGCGGGTTGCTATCACCGCATGTTTGGAGTTCTTTGAGGGCCAACCACCAAAAATAAACAAGTTTATCCCAGTGGATTCCCCCAAATTGGTGGATTAACCAACGGTTAAGAAAAACAACATATACAAAATACCCTTGACTCAGCAAATCTACAGTAAACATGTGACAATTCACTTCTTACCCTCTGGTAATTTGACATAGCTATTGAAAATGGCCATAGAAATAGTGAGTTTTCCCATTAAACATGGGTGGATCTTTCCAGTTCGTTATGTTAGTTAGTTTACCAGAGGGCCAAAGGGTAGCACTGTCCGAAAGAGGCTAAAAACAAAACCACCGGGGCGGGGCCCTCGTCTCCCAGTGACTGAATTCCAGCACATCTTTGGGCGTGTTCAGCTCCTGGCGAAGCATCTGTTGTCGTGGTTTTACCTGGTTTAACCATGTTTCACCAACGAAAAATGATGGATTTTACCCTACCTTAACCAACACAAAATATGATTTAACATGATTTAACCAACATGTGTTCAATGGGTTTATATATACAGGGCCTGCTATTCTGGGTCGATCAAAGTCGCTCAACATATCTAGTGGAATGCCTTATAATTTTCTTTCATTCGATACGGCTATGAATACCAGCATCAACTTAACTATGGATTCTAAATGATTCTAATTTCACATAAGAAGAGTCGTTGTCTCCTTGCCTCTGCAACGCCTGTGTCACATCATGTGCTTTGGAGATGGGGTCAATGCTGCAAGGTTGAGGGGACAGTGGGGGAGCAGGGCGGACAAATAAAGCAAGGGAAACATTTTGGAAATGCAATCTGCTATCATGTAAATTTGCCCTCAGCACCTGCCCTACGCCCCACAGGCACTTCCGTATATACACTTTCATATTTTGCTCAGGTTTTTTTTAAGGGTTCATTTGGGGTTTCTGGAGGGTTAATTTGAAGTTTTTCCTAGGGTTTTTCCAATTTTTTTTTGGGGGTTTATGAACAACACGCTGGAAACCAGGATTGCCGGACAGCAGATTCCCCGCAGAAGGTCATCACACATGTCCAAGTTATAACATCTCAACAGAGTGGAAGGCCACAAAGTACTGCAAAAGTCACCAAGAATGAAGTTCCCGACAATCATTCTGAAAGAGTTTGGGACATAGCACAAGTGCTGGCCGTAGAGTTGATGGTCATTGATGGTCAAATTTCTACTGGCATTGCTCAGCCCGATATACTTTCTGACTGGGTCTTCTCCAATAAAACACAATAGACTAACCTGAATATTCAAAGGTCTTCTGTCTATTCGGTCCTGGATACCAGGTCCACAAAACCCGTCAGCTCAAGGATACGTTACTACCAGTTCAACATATACCAGCGCAAAACCAATGAACGGTTCAAAAGGTGCAGGGATGCCCGCGCTGTTCTGTAACAAGCGAGGTTTAACCTTGACAGCCAGAAGCAATGCAAAGACAGCCGGCGGCAATGTACAGGACCCTGGGCACAACCCCCTCGCAACCCCCGGACATCAAAGTTGACTTACTGCCGTGCGCTGCAAAACAGCTGCACCATGCTTCACCAGGAAAGCAGCAAGACTGGCTTTTGTGAGTGGCAACTTTGACTCCTGGGGGGCGGGGCCAGGTTTGCGTGCGCACATTCGCAATTTGTACTGGCTGGCCGCAAAGCTACTATAAGAATGTGCTCAAAGCTACTAAGCACGATGTCGCAATTCGCATTGGCTTGGCCGCAAAACAACTAAGAAAATGCTCTAAAGATAGAAAGAAATGGTATCCTCTCTTATTATATTCAATTAATTTTGAGGGAAAATCTTAGTAGTCTTGCGTCCAAGCCGTTGTGATTCGCAATTCATGCCTAGTAGTTTTTCATGAACTCCCTAGTAGCTTTGCGTCCAAGCCACTGCAATTCGCAGGTCGTGCTTTAGCAGTTTTTCGCGATATGCTTAGTGGCTTGCGTCCAAGCCATTGTGATTGGTACCTCATGCCTTAGTAGGCTGTGCATAAAAGCATTGCAGTTGCTTTTTGTGCAAGCCTAGGTGGGCCCAAGGCCCAAAACCGGAGCCTCAAATAAGTAGTAAAGCAAGCTTCTCGGGCATGTACCCTCGGAGTTCGTTTTAGAAAAACGCTAAATACTGTTTGGTTTTCATAGGATTTTCCATTTATACTCAATTATGTGATCATCCCAATCATCAACAGCGCTTCTGAACATGGCTCAGCTGGCACATATTCAATGCACAGGACATGTTCAGATTTGAAGGGGTCTTGGTTTGGTTTGATCATTGGATTGGTTGAAGGGAGAATTGAAACCGGAAACCCGTCTTACTTGTTGATGGTAAAAAACAAGGTTTCTTGTAGACTCTTTCCCTGAAACCAATTTATCTGGGTAAATGATAATATTTCACTAACCTGAATATTAGTTCGGCCATTTGGGGATGATTTCCCTAAAATAAACCATGATTCCAGTGAGGAAGGACAGTGAGGTCGTGATAATTTACCCAGATCTATTGATTTGACGTTCCAAACACAAAACCATGGTGTTCTTCCAATCTGTTGGTGAAAAATAGTCAATCGCCCAGGAAAAGAGCCGCTGAAGCGCCGTCTGGAGGGTGTCAAGCATCTGGTCGCCCAATCGCAAGAAATAGTATGTGTGCATCATATATGTACAATAGTGTATTATATAGACATAACATATATATATATGCATACATTATAATTCAAAATTCATAATATTATATTACATTATACTATTATATTATATAGATATTGTATTATATTTAATTCTATCATAATTATCATATCATATGTTATAGTATGTATTAATTTACTTTATTTTATGCTAATTTACTTTACGTTAATTTACTTTACCTTACTTTGCATTGCATTGCATATCGTAACGTAACATAACATAACATAACATATATATATATATGTGTGTACGGCACTATCTATCTATCTATCTATCTATCTATCTATCTATCTATCTATCTATCTATCTATCTGCCTGTCTATCTATCTATCTATCTATCTCTATCTATCTCTATCTATCTCTATCTATCTCTATCTATCTCTATCTATCTCTATCTATCTGCCTGTCTATCTATCTATCTATCTCTATCTATCTCTATCTATCTCTATCTATCTCTATCTATCTCTATCTATCTCTATCTATCCCTATCTATCTCTATCTATCTCTATCTATCTCTATCTATCTCTATCTATATCTCTATCTATCTCTATCTATATCTCTATCTACCTCTATCTATCTCTCTATCTATCTCTATCTATCTCTCTATCTATCTATCTATCTATCTATCTATATATATCATGATATTATGTATGTATATACTATATAGAGTGGTAAATAAGCCCTAGGTACAGCAGTGGACCCCCCCCCAACAGCCTGAACCCGTGTGTTTCCCTCGCCTTGGCAGGGTCTGGTGAGGCTTCCAGCACGGCAATGTACTTTTCAAAGTCGCCTTCCCACGCCTTCTCGCCCAGCTCGCTGAGAGTTTCCTGAAAGAGCTGAATCGCTCTTAGTTCGTTTACTTACTTCGACTGGGATCTATGATACAAATGGTAATAATGAATGAACATAAGGTTACTACCCTCTGGTAATTTAACATAGCTATGGAAAATCACCATTTTTAATGGGAAAACTCACTATAAATGGCCATTTTCAATAGCTATGTTAGTTTACCAGAGGGTATATAATGAATGGAATAGATGTACACATATGGAGGTGTCCTAAAATGGGGGTACTTCCAAAACATCCAAAATTCAACCATGTTAGTATTAAAATCCATGTTTTTGCACCAATCAAGCAGGCACAGCGATGGGAACACCTACGGTTCCAACCTTTATTTTTTTCTGATCAAATATCATTCCAACAATGGGAGGTTTCACTGTAGATTCTCCCTTCACAACTAATTCTGGGTCATGTTTGATATGGATATATATAATATAATATATATATATATTATAATTATATGTATATATACGTATGTACTTTGATATACGTTGAAACCTTGAAGAAAAATCATGGTGAATTGTACTGTCATGTTGCAAATCGCGGTAGTTTTCACCTGGGTTGTCATTGTGTCCCTGTGGCTTTGGGGCATCTCCAACGTATCACTTAAAATTATTTTTAATGTTGAAATCATCAACAATCACGATGTTCACCGTTTGAACTTCCATTTCCTCCTACTCCTCCTGACTTTTCCTGCCAAAATCTTCCAACATCACCAAAAAGACCCAAAAACACCCAACATGTTTGACCCAATAGCATCTTGCAAAGCAAATCGTAAACATTCGTAAACTATCACCAGCAATCCCAATATGTCTTCAGCTAAAAAATCACCAAACACATCCAAAAACCCAGGCATTTTCCTTGACCCTCCGGCCGTTTAACGAGGGATCGTTTCAGAAAGTCAAACCTCCACGCCTCCACATCCCCTGGTAAGGCTTCGTCTAAGCCAGGAGGGGCGCCAGCAAACAGCATGGCGTCCGATGGTCGGAAGATGTGTTTTTGGGGGCGAAATCCATAGGCTGGGGGAAAACCATGGAAAACCCAGGGAAAAATAAGGGTAGGAAATTGTTTGGGGATTTTTTTTTTTTAAGTTTGGGGAATTTTTTTGGGATTTCCGGTTCTCACCATTTTCCATGCTATTTGCAGCATTTTGGAGCTGGAAACTGCCATTTCCACGGTATGTGCAACGGTTTTGAGTTCGAACCTCTCATTTTCCATTGTATTTTCCACGGTATTTGCAACAGTTTGCAGCATGTTCTGTCCATTTTCCATGCTCTTTGCAGCATTTTTGAGCTGGAATCTGCATTTCCACCGTATGTGCAACATTTTACAGCTACATTCCTCACAGTACTTGCAGGATTTTGGAGCTGAAGGCTGACATTCCAACAGTTGTTTGTTGTTACTGTTACTGTTGTTGGTGTTGGTGTTGGTGTTGTTGTTGTTGTTGTTGTTGTTGTTGTTGTTGTTGTTGTTGTTGTTGTTGTTGTTGTTGTTGTTGTTGTTGTTGTTGTGTGTTGTTGTGTGTTGTTGTGTGTTGTTGTGTGTTGTTGTGTGTTGTTGTGTGTTGTTGTGTGTTGTTGTGTGTTGTTGTGTGGTGTTGTGTGTTGTTGTGTGTTGTTGTGTGTTGTTGTGTGTTGTTGTGTGTTGTTGTGTGTTGTTGTGTGTTGTTGTGTGTTGTTGTGTGTTGTTGTGTGTTGTTGTGTGTTGTTGTGTGTGGTTGTGTGTTGTTGTGTGTTGTTGTGTGTTGTTGTGTGTTGTTGTGTGTTGTTGTGTGTTGTTGTGTGTTGTTGTGTGTTGTTGTGTGTTGTGGTGTGTTGTGGTGTGTTGTGGTGTGTTGTGGTGTGTTGTGGTGTTGTTGTGTGTTCTTGTGTGTTCTTGTGTGTTCTTGTGTGTGTTGTGGTGTGTTGTGGTGTGTTGTTGTGTGTTGTTTGTGTTGTTGTGTGTGTTGTTGTGTGTTGTTGTGTGTTGTTGTGTGTTGTTGTTGTGTTGTTGTGTTGTTGTGTGTTGCGTGTGTTGTTGTGTGTTGTTGTGTGTTGTGGTGTGTTGTTGTGTGTTGTTGTGTGCGTGTGTTGTTGTGTGTTGTTGTGTGTTGTTGTGTGTTGTTGTGTGTTGTTGTGTGTTGTTGTGTGTTGTTGTGTGTTGTTGTGTGTGTTGTGGTGTGTTGTGGTGTGTTGTTGTGTGTTGTTTGTGTTGTTGTGTGTGTGTTGTTGTGTGTTGTTGTGTGTTGTTGTGTGTTGTTGTTGTGTTACCGGTAGTGTGTTGTTAGTGTGCTAGTGTAGTGTGTTAGTGTGTAGTGTTGTTGTTGTTGTTGGTGGTGGTGTTGTTGTTGTTGTTGTTGTTGTTTAGTGGTGTTGTTGTTGTTGCTGTTGTTAGTGTTGTTGTTGTTACCGTTAGTGTTGTTAGTGTTGCTAGTGTTAGTGTTGTTAGTGTTGTTAGTGTTGTTAGTGTTGTTAGTGTTGTGTTAGTGTTGTTGTTGTTGTTGGTGGTGGTGGTGGTGGTGGTGTTGCTGGCGGTTGTGTTTGTGTTGCAGCGTGCCCATCTGCTTCGAACCAAGAGAAGATGTTGCTCCACACCTCATGGAAAGCAAAAAAGCAAAGAAAAGCAAGAAAAGCAAAAACGCAAAGAAAAGCAGAAAAACGAGAAAAGCAAAAAAGCAAAGAAAAGCAAGGAAAGCAAAAAAGCAAAGAAAAGCAAGAAAAGCAAAAAAGCAAAGAAAAGCAGAAAAGCGAGAAAAGCAAAAAAGCAAAAAAGCAAAGAAAAGCAAGGGAAGCAAAAAAGCAAAAAAGCAAAGAAAAGCAAGAAAAGCAAAAAAAGCAAAAAAAGGAATAGAAGCAAAGAAGCAGAGAAGCACTGCAGGAGGCAATAGAGTAAGCAGGAAGAAATCCAAAAAAAAATCCCTAAACTAAAAAAAAAAATCCCTAAATAAATGGCCCTCCGAAAAATAATGGAGTTGTCCATATTTCTATCTGATTTCTGATTTTGTCTCAGGATGTCTCAGGTTTCTCTTGGCTATGGTAAGGAATTCATCAATGCGGATGATGGACCAATGGATGTGTTGTTGTTCTGGCTCAAACATGCTCAAACACTGGATTGTCGGGAGTTGATGGGGACTTTTTACTTTTTAAGTACCAAACATTGGGACGATAAACATGATAACCAACGAAATAAGGGATTCACCTTGAATGGACCTGCCAATTCTTGGGTATGGGGTTCATCCGCGGTCGCAACATGGAGTATATAGATCTGCCAACCTATGGTCAGCTACAGCAGAAAGATGTGCCAACAGCGGATATCGAGTTTCTTTGAACAGGCGCCTAGAGATGGATGAAGTGTCGAAAACCACATCAATTGGGTGGTTGTAATATTCTAATCTATCATCAAATCTATCATCAAAACCCAACCTGGATGACTTAATCCTAAAAATTAAGGAGAAAAATGTGACTTAAGATTTCGCATTCTTTGAATTATTTCTCCAATCAGTTGTTTTTTGCCCAACAATGGCACACTTGGCAGCTGTAGTATGTATTGAATACACTTCAGTGGTAGAGGTCATTCGAGGTTCCTACAAAAACTGCTCACATACCACGGATCTGGAATGATCTACAGATGTCTGATCTACGGGCTATCTTTCAAGGTCTCAACAATAGCAGATTTAAGCAGTATGGTCCGGTGTGGTCGCATTTGAATATCCAGATCGATGTTTCTTTTTCTCTTCGCGCAGTTGCAAATGCAACTCTTTTCTGCCACGCTGCGCGAGCTTTGTGACACAGTTGCAATGCAATCAAGTGCCCATGTAAACCGAATCTAGGTCATACAAGCGCTGGGGTTTAGTCACCCGTGGTTGCAGTAAGTCATCCTCCCGCATGTGTGCGTTGCATTAGTGGCAAGTCACCCGGCTTGCTTTTCACCCGGAAAAAATGAAAACACCATGCGCACGCTATCTTACAAGATCCTCGTGAAATAAGTTGAAATAAGAAATGTCTTGCGCACGCTGAGGTAAAATGTGATTTTTCTTTGATGTTCAGCATGTTTGTTTGTTGAAAATCAGCTTGTGCACGCCCGTTTGATACGACTGAAGATGATGGATGTCGACCACACACTGCACGCACGTGTCATGTTTCTGTATGCAAATCCCAGTGGGCACGCGGATAGAAAACATGGATAAACATGGAACATCACCATGAGACCAGCGTTGGTTTATTGGCAGAAGAAAAAGTTGATCCAGGGAGTTGTGTGATCAAACAGCAAGTTTCACCACCTGCACGCCAACAAAAGCTAAGCTTCAGAATCATTGGTTACCCTCTGGTAAACTAACATAGCTATTGAAAATGACCATTTATAGTGGATTTTCCCATTGAAAATGGTGATTTTCCATAGTTATGTTAGTTTACCAGAGGGTATGTAGTCAACCATGCTTAAACATCCACATCCACGCAACTGCACGCCACTTACCCAGACGACTTTCTGCAAATCAAGACGGCAAAACCCAAGTAACTAGTGACCTAGTGGGCCTGTATCCACAGAGTCCCGAGAACCAGGACACCGAACTGTTTTAAACGGTTCGGTGCCGAGTTGTTGTCGTCGTCTTTGCACAACCGGCTCGAGCACTAGCCTCACTAGCCAAAGAACTTGCGATCTAAGGCTTGAAAGTGAAGGTCCAGAATATTCCCATATTCCTGGCTTGCCATGGGCTGCAGGGCTTGCGGGTTGTGACGTTTTTTCGGTGCCCATTCTATGAGGACAGGTCACAACTTTCAGGAAATGATGATCTTATACTGGACTCCATCCGACTCCATCCCAGGACTTTTTTCTTGGACACTCAGGTCAAACTTGGGTACACCCCAACTTGGATGGTTTGCAATAATGTCCAACCATGTCCAATCTTCGGATCTTGACATTTTTCATAGACCCTGATGCTATCTACCTTGCCCTTGGGCCGACCAGAACGGTCCAACCGTAGAACTGTCCCCGTGACAGCGCATGGTCCTCCCAATTCACTGTGCCACGGAAGAAGTTACATGAGAGATTTGCTTCCAATAGGACCTGAGACCCCTGGGAGCCAGGACCGGGAAACTGAAAAAAGGTAAACAGGGCTGTTTGTGGTGATAAACTGTGCTAAACCCTGTTGTACCCTATATTATATATATATATATATACACATAATATACATGTGTATGTATATATATATATATATGTATATGCGTGTCTATCTATCTATCTATCTATCTATCTATCTAATCTAGTCTAATCTAATCTAATCTAATCTAATCTATCTAATCTAATCTAATCTAATCTTATCTTATCTTATCTATCTATCTATCTATCTAATCTATCTATCTATGTATGTATAATATGTATTATATGCTATATTATATTATATATATATAATTGTATGTATATCTATCTGTGGTAATTATTCCTTTCCACATGGGTAAATTATGGAGATTGTCGTTTTACAACAAGACATCGACTGAGATTCGCACAAGTTATCCTACAGATTCGCGGATTTCGGGGTCCGTATGAAATACCCCAGTCAGAGATGGGTTTCAGGGAACCCATGGGTCCAGGTGAACCCGGAACGAGCGTGGGCTGAAGAGGATGAATGTCAGAAGACCGGAACGAGAAGGGTCGACCCCACTGTTCTAATGAATTTGATTGGCATTCATTGAAGACCGGAACCTCAAACAGACTCGACCCCACTAGCCATGCTTCATTTGAACCATGGATTGATAAACCCTCACTACTTACTGGGGTGGTAACACCCCCAAACATGTGAAATCAATGACCAATATAACTATTAAAATTGTGGCTGGTTTTAGTCCCGCTAAGTGGTGCCCTCCCTACGCATAAGTGGGTTTATTTACAAACCAACTAGAAATATGAATCATCATGCAATCCGATTAATCGAGTTAGCCTAGGTATAAAGAAACTCAGTATATATTTTGTGGAGGTTTCTTAGAATTGGGGGTACC